GCACGGGCTGTGTGTGTGTGTGCTGCACGGGCTATGTATGTGTGTGCAACAGGAGCTTGGGAGTAGAGATGAACAGGAGCCACGGTTAGAGCAATGAGAGGTAGACTAGATGTGGTATGTACGTATGTATGTTGAACTTCTTTCGCGCCGTACAGAGCCAGATGCGCTAATCGGAGGTGTGGGGGAAGGACACACGAAAGACAAAAAGCACTCCTAAAGAAATTCGTTCTCACTTCAGATGAAAAAATACGGTGGGGAGCTTGCCGGGGCGCCGTGATATGCTCTGGGTCGCCGACGCCGATGAAGCCGGCCGTAGCGAGCCCCCGATCGCAGGCGAAAGGTGTGGACGAGACGGCCGGACACCCTCTTAGTGACGAGTGTGAGCTTCCTCGCCTGCTATGTAGAAGGTTGTGCTTTCGATCCCGACCCTGACGCCTGCTGTATATTTGGAGTTTGCGTGTCTCTCTCTCCCCGTGGTGGTCGCTGGATTTTTCTCCGGATCCTCCGGTTTTTCTCTCCACATTTAGAATGAACGTGCGCATAGAGTTTTGGCTGCTGTAAATGTCCACGTGATAAGCCACTTCGTTGCGCTATCATTTGTGGTGGCCAGGTCGCTTCTGAAAAAGAGCTACACAGCTCAGTGGGCCTTTCCTGGTAAAAGAGAAAAAAATAGTTTAAGAATAAAAATGTGTTTACTGCTTAGTCTAGTGGAAGGGCCAGCGGTGGCGCGAGCAAAGCGATTGCGGGGCTGCGCCTGTAGCCACAGGCGCACGAGCACCCCGGCGATGTCGCCGTGCCGGTCTTTGTTTTGAATGTCCGAACGCCACAGATCCACGCGTCCCGCGAGAGCCACGTCCCCTTCACGGACCCCGTCGGAACGCGCGCCGCGGTGGCGGCGGCAGTGGCGGTAGCGGCGGCGGTGGCGGCGGCGCTAAGCGGCCGGCGCTCGCGAAGTGGGTGGTACCGTAATGTGAGCGCATGCCACGGACCGCTCGCGCACGCCACAAAATCAATGGGAGTATCGCGGCGAGCGCCCTGACATTTCGTCGTAATGCCAACGCTCCTGGGCGCGCACAAGCCTTGACCTTCACCGAGTGACGAGTGCGAGCCGCTCGTCATCGCCACGAGGTGCGATCCCAGTGCCGAGGGGCCCGGGGAACAGTCCCAGTGTGGAGGGAGCGAGTGGGCAGAGCCCCGCGGGGTGAGAGGCTGGGCTGGGCCCCGCGGGCGGCCGGGCCGATGTCCCACAGTGAAGGCCAATCCTCTCCCTCCCTCCTGTCAGCCCCCCATCCCCCCCTCCTCCCCGCCCCACCCCCCCTCACCCCCACACCGCACGCCTTCCTTCATGGCAGCACCATGAGACGGATCACCTCATTTACAATCCCTTGAGAAGGATCATCTCGATGACGCCCCTCTCGCTCTCTCCCTGCCATGTCTCTCTCTCAAGTGGCCGTGTGTCTTTATCGATCTCTATCCACGTCTCTCTCCTTGCATCTCGAATCCCTAACCAGATGTTAATTCCCTCGCCTGATATGCAGGAGATTGCGGGTTCGATCCCGACCCTTGACCCCTGTATATTTGGAGTTTGCATGTTCTCCCCGTGGTCACGTGGATTTTCTCCGAGTCCTCCGGTTTTCCCTTCCACATTTAGAATCAACATTCATTTCGAGTATATTCTTGGTTCTTTCGGTAAAGTCGCGTAGGTAGAAAATCTACACGACAAAATAAAATTAAAAATAAATTGAAAATAATAAAAGCAAAAAACCCACGACGTTTCGATCGCAACACGAGCCGTCTTCATCAGGCGGGTTTTTTGCTTTAATTATTTTAAATTTATTAGTAATTTTGAATTTTATTAAAATTTTATTATTGTTATATTCTATCTACGTGACTTTACCGAAAGAACCAAGAATATGAATTCCTGCAGTCACGAAAGTTAAGTCAAAATTCATTTCGAGTATTTGGCTGCTATAAATGTCCACGTGACAAGCCACTCCAGTGAGCCATCGTTTGTGACAACCGGCGTCGCTTCCGAAAAACAGCTACGGAGCTCAATGGGCCTTACGCCGGCAAAAAAAAACGTAAATTCAGTCAGGTCCGTCTGGGTCGGTGACCCGGAATATTTGACCACAACCAGCACCCCACGTCCATGATGACTCTCGCTGCGGCTGTGGCAAAAACCCGGCTCCCAATCCGCTCTGGCTCCCAATCCGCTCCATCTCTGCGGTCACCGGGAGCTTCCGCCTCACACATCCTGGGCACTTCCCGGCGACGTTGAGCAGCACCTCCGGAGGTTACGTTTCGTAAGTGTTTTAGGGAAGAGGATCGACAGCGAGAGAGAACCACGGCGCTGTCGTTGCGGGGTTTAGCGCCGTGGCCGCGCGGGTTCCTGGGCTAGCTGCCTGCCGCCTCCATGACCAGAGAGAGACGGCCGTGTCACTAAGAGGAGGCCGGGCGGCCCAGAGGTTCACAGACGCTGAGCCGGCAACGCTCAAGAGCCTGGGTTCAAATCCAGATTTGAGCTTCTGCCTCCGATTGAACGGGGGTTTCTCAGGTGCGGCGAGAAGATAGCTTCAGACCCGATCACCGAAAAAAAACCCCATCCCATTAAAATCCCATATCGAACAGAAAGGATCCTTGCCGATGAACGTCGAGCAGTTCATCAGCGGTGGTTTGAAGCCGGTCCAGAGTTTGCTTGTGTTGGACCAACGCTGCGGAGATGATGCAAGCCTTTAGACGGCTACATGGCTGGTGCGACGTGTAGAAAAATACAAATGTTATTTATGCAGAGGGACAAACATGGGAAGGAGGTGTCATTGTCTACTTCGCTGTTTTATTAAACTCAATGAGTTTCTGCGCCTCTCTCAATGCAAGATGCCGACTAACTCTTTGTCTGCTACAAACTTCTTCACAAGTGCTGCTTGTTGCTGGCCGCTTGGCGAGACTCGGCGCGTTTGAAGTCCCCTCCGCTGATTCCGCGCCAGCGGGAGGCACCGCCACCCCCGCTGATTGCCGCTCACAACCGCTTAAAGTTCAGAGCGAAGGGGGCAGCGGAGGAGGCGAAGGGGGTGGAGGAGGTGGAGGGGCAGGAGGGGGTGGAGGGGGTGGAGGGGGTGGAGGGGGTGGAGGGGGTGGAGGGGGCGGAGAGGATGGAGGGAGCAGAGGGGGTGGAGGGGAGGGTTGGGGCATTTCGCGCTAAGGAACCGGAGTTCTCCCCATCACTGAGACAGCGCGTGGAACGAGAGTCGGGAATTATCACATCCGCAAAGATGTGCAAACACTTGCCACGCCGAGCCACGCCGAGCCACGCCGAGCTGACACGGCGATCTCACGGCCCCGGCACGCCGCCACCGCTGCCACCCGTGGAATTTCTCGCGTCATTCTCATGCAAACGAGGACGACCTCAGGGGCGCGGGGACTAACGGACGGTCCCAGTGAGGAGGGGGTGCGGGGGGGGGGGCGTGGGGATGGTTCCTGGGGGGGGGGGGGGGGGGGGGGGGATCTGGCCCGACGCTTTATACAGAGAAAAAACTCGTCACCGTCGTCGTCGTCATTATCGGTGGCAGTGCCCTCTAGACTCGAGTGGAGACAACGTCGTCCAGTCGATGGTGGTGGTCACGATGGAACGGTGGTGGCCGTGTCACTGGCTTACCCAGGAGAGTTTCACCAGGAGTCCAAACGAATTGTTTTTTAACACATTCCTGCGGAGGGAGCTGGTAGGAACGTTGGGTTGCTCGATCAGTGGCCAGGGTCAACGGCGGCGTGGTGTATTCCGCAAATATGGCCGACTGTGATGGTGGGCACAAGCCGGCGTGAGTAGGTTAAACGTTTAAGGGCACCACGGGGTGACCAGCCCCTCCCCACCCAGCCCCACCCCACTCTCCCCTCTCCACCCTCCCCACCCAGCCCCTCCCCACCCCACCCAGCCCCACCCCACCCTCCCCAGCCCCTCCCCTCCCCAACCTCCCCTCTCCACCCAGCCCCACCCCTCCCATTTTTGGATGCACGACGGACGGACAGAATAATCCCCTGTGGGCTGGTGTAACCAGGAGGTTCCTACCAGTATTACACCAGGTAAGGCCCGGCTGAGTTATATAAATCTATACTCTTTGGTTCTTTCGGTAAAGTCACGTAGGCATAAAATAAATTAAATCACGACGTTTCGATTGCAACACAAGCAATCATCATCAGGTGGGAAAACCACAGCAATAATTTTTGTTGCTGAAAAAAAAATTCTTGTGGCTTATCACGTGGAAATGTATAGCCACCAAAAACTCTAAACACACGTTCATAGATGTGGAGGGGGAAAACCGGAGGACCGGGAGAAAAATCAACGTTGCCACGGGGAGAGGGAGAGACACGCAAACTCCAAAGATACAACAGGCATCAGTAGTTGGGATCGAACCCACAACCTGCTGTATACCAGGCGAGGTAGTTGACATCTCGCCACCGTGGAACCATTCTCGTCACAGTGAGAGTCTCGCCGGGAGAGTCTCGCCGGGAGAGTCTCGCCAGAGTCACACATTGGGAAGTTTGGTAAAATATTAAATTGTATTCAAGGAGAGTTTAACTGCGTGTGGGAAGAATCACAGATTACGTGGAACAAACCGCCCACGCATCCAGAGGGGATAACGAGCAACGGGGATAACGAGCTACGGTCCTCTACACGGATGGGGGTGGGGGAGGGCGGTGAGGGGGGGAAGGAGGGATTTAGTGAAGGATGAAAGGAGTGAGGGAGAGAATGAGAGAGCGAGGTAGGGGGAAAGGAAGTGAGGGAAGGAAGGGGGAGGGAAAGGGGGAGGGAGGGTGGGAGGGAGGGAGGACGGGAGGGGGGAGGAAGGGGGGAGGGAGGGGGGGGAGGGGGGGAGGGGGGAGGAAGGGGGGGGAAGGGAGGGAGGGGGCGAGGGAGGGTGGAAGGAAGGGGGAGAGGGAGGGGGGGGAGGAGGAAGGAAGGGAAGATGGAGGGAGGGGGAGAGGGAGGTGGGGGTAGGGTCTGTCACCTGTGAGAGGCCCAGGTAGATGGACACCGTCTCAGAGATGTAGAGGAAGCGGCCGTCCTGCGTGAGCGCGAACACAAAGCCGTCCAGTGCCTGCGGACAAGCGAGACACAGACACAGTGAGACACGGCGAGACACAGACACGGCGAGATACAGACACAGTGAGACACAGACACAGCGAGACACAGTGAGACACAGACACGGCGAGACACAGACAAGTGAGACAGTGAGACACAGACACAGCGAGACACGTAAAGTGAGGCAAGACACGGGGTTAGAGATTCCCAGCCGCACCACACGGCGCAGCATCACGGTTGGACTCCCGCTCCGGGCCACAGGTTCAATGACGATGACATCACTACGACGCCGCTCGCAGAACACGCTCGGTCGCGTCTGTCAATCCACTGCTGGATGAATGCCTCCCCACGCCATGTGGCTCATGCGAGGCGTTTGACCAAACTTCGCCAGGCTGGTCAGTGCTGGTGCGTGAAAGGCGGGCGGGGAATGTGACGACCCTTGGGGCAAATTCACATATCGCCGGCGTTCGGGGCGTGACCGGGAATCGAGCTCGGGTTGCTATCGGGCTCGCGGCGCAGCGTGCCGACCGCGAGCTCAGCCTCCTCCCGCTCGGCGCCACGAAGTTCAAATCCCCATCCATGGATCTGCATCGCCGGCGCCTTGCCCGCGGGTTTTCACCGCCGCGGCGAAATCCCTGCGGCTCCCTGCTCTCTCTCCCGCAACGTCAACCGCCGATCGCCGCAATCGGGAACCGCACCGATCCCGTCCCCGGCACGCGAGCCGCGGTGTGACGGCTCCGGGGGGGGGGGGGGGGGGAGGGAAGAAGAGCCGCACGTGTGCGGCGGCGCTCGCGATCGAACAAACGCCGGGAACGGCGGCTCGATAACGAGAGGGGGGGGGGGGGCTAAGAACTCCCCCTGCCTCTCTCGCCCCGTTTTCAAATGTCCGGCGCCGCGGATTTATCGAGGGCCAAGCTCCGCTTGTAAGGGCAGCCACGAGCCTCCCGCGGGGAAATCGATAGTTTCATCAGCATCATCAGCATGCGCCACGGGGGACAGATTCCGAGAGTCGATAGGCCGCTGCCCCGGGCAGAGGCAGCAGACACGGACAGCAGACGCAAGCAGAAACAATCACCGCCACTACCGCCAACACGACCACCACCACCACAACACTACCACCACAAAGACAAAGATCCCCCTATAGCCTTGACAGACTGTTGGGGCAAGTGCTGTTAGTGAGCACCTATGAAGGCCGGGACGGTACACGAGGGGGTGGGTGGCCAGCACCACGCCCGGCCGCCTTTGTCTTCTCAGTGGCGATGTTTACACACCACACCAGGTACTCATTTGAGGCTGAGTCGACCCAGGGGAGAGCCCAGGACCGCTGCAGATGTTCGTCATCAATGTTGGTCATGAGCAGGAATCGAACTCGGGTCGCCGGGTTCGTAGCTGCAGCGCGCTAACCGTTGCGCCACCGCTCCTCACTACCACCAAAGCTACCACTACTGCCGCCACCACTACCACCACCATCACCGCCACCACTCCTATAAACGCTCCTACCACTAACACCACCACCACCACCTCCACCGCTACCTCCACCGCTAACAACAACGCCGCTACTACCAGCACATCATTAATGGCACCACCACTACCAACGCCACCACAGCCACTGCTGCAATAGCATCCTCAACCGGCTGCACGGCGCCTCACCAGACGGTGCCTTGCTACTCACCACGCGGCACACCTCACAGAGCACCTCACCAAACACACAGCGCACTCACTTCTCACCACACATCGCCTCACTATCATCGCACAAATGACACACCTCACTCCTCATCTCACTCCTCATCTCAATCCTGACGTCACCACACTCCTCACCACAAATATCACCTCACTCAACTCACTACTACTCTTCACCTCACTCCACACCACACAGCTCACCACACTCCTTGTGACGCCTTAAACAAACGCAAACTTTTTTTTTATCTTACCAAGCAAGGCCCACTTAGCGATACAAATGATAGCTCAACGAAGTGGCCTACGGTGTGGTACTGTACAGCGGCCAAATCCTCTCTACGCGTGATGCCGATTCTCAATGCGGAGGGTGAAAACCGGAGGACCCGGAGAAAAATCCACGCGACCACGGGGAGAGAGACACGCAAACTCCAGATATACAGCAGCAAGCGCCAGGGTCGGTCGGGATAGAGCCCACACGGCCTCCTGTATACCAGGCGAGGGAGTTGACATCTCGCCACCACGCTCCTCATGACCCCTCGCACCCATCCCATCTCCCGTCTGGTCACCCGGTGCAAATGCAACCCCCCCCCCCCCCCACCGACCCGGGCGTGCGCTCTGAGCGTGGGGGGCGAGCGCTGGTGGCCCTTTGGCCACCTTCACCCAGCACAGTCGCTCGCTCGCTCGGCCTCGATTGGGGATTACTCACGACGCGCTTTGCCCAAATTCTAGTGATGGCGCAGCCGTTAGCGCCACCACTCAGTTAGCGGCAGTCGTGCCCCCCCCTACACCCCCCCCCCCAAAACTTCACCAACCTGTGGTGATGCACCGACTCAAGCAGAGACGCACAGACTCACACAGAGACGCACAGACTCACACAGAGACCCAGACTCACACAGAGACGCACAGACTCACACAGAGAGCCAGACTCGCACAGAGATGCACAGACTCACACATATACCCACTGACTCACACAGAGACCCATAGACTCACACAGAGACCCAGACTCGCATAGAGACGCACAGACTCACACATACATACCACAGACTCACACAGAGACGCACAGACTCACACAGAGACCCACAGACTCACACAGAGACCCAGACTCACACAGAAACCCACAGACTCACACAGAGACGCACAGACTCACAGAGAGACGCACAGACTCACACAGAGACCCAGACTCACGCAGAGACGCACAGACTCACACAGAGACCCAGGCTCACACAGAGACGCACAGACTCACAGAGAGACCCAGGCTCACACAGAGACGCACAGATTCACACAGAGACGCACAGACTCACACAGAGACGCACAGACTCACAGAGAGACGCACAGACTCACACAGAGACCCAGGCTCACACAGAGACGCACAGACTCACATAGAGACGTGGACTCACATCGACCCACCGACTCAAACAGAGACCCACATACTCAAACAGAGATCCACACACTCGCATAGAGACCCACAGACTCACACAAAGACCCTTCTGCCCAAATAGTTTTCCCCCATCGCGTGTTCAGGTCTTCCCCCTTGGCCCCTGGACTCGTGGAGACCGCTCCAATGCCATCTCAGCACGCGGCCCTCCTCCATGCCGGGCACACGCGTCCCACCCAGCCAGCGAAACACAACTAAGCTGCCGCTCATGTGAACACTCAGTCGGCTTTTGCGACCAATATTATCCACAATAGAGGTTTATTTTGGGTTAGAGCGCGTAACTATAAGTGTGTCAGTTTCACACGTAGGCTTTCGCTACCAATATACATCTACGCCTCTATATAAGGAACGAAACGGGTGGACTTCTCCACAAATCTGTCTGTCGCCTGATGAAGCTAGTTGTAATTTCTGGCGAAACGTCGTACTCAGATTGTAAATGTTGTGGCTTGGCTCTCCAACACACCAGTGTAGTGCTGTACTAGTGACGAATTGGCCAGGTTCTGTTTACGTGACAAACCTTGTTACTAGTTGGCTGTGTCGGGTGGTGGCGGGTTTAACGACACATTTATATATTTACGCGACCTAATCCCCCCCCCCCCCCCTCTATTAAGCATAATCTGCTGCTGTTTGCGAGCTCGCTGGACCGGCTTTGCCCGTCTAAGCCCCCATTGAGGCATCACCACCGAGCCCCCCCCTCCCTCCCTTTCTCTCTCTCCCGTGCTGGCGCAGCGCCAGCGGGAGCCTCCCCCGTGTGCGAACGCCTCGACCGGCGCACGCGGCACGACACCACCCCCCTCCCCACCTCGCCCTCTCGGGAAGTCGCAATTCCGAGAAAAATCGTCCCGGAGGAAAATGTAGCCCGTAATCATACGCCGGCGTTTTATCCTCGCCGTATGCTAATGAGCGGATCGTCTCCGGCTCGACGGACTCCTCTCTCGAAGCGACCGCGGGCCGCTCTACTCGGGGCGTTCACGTGGCCCCGATGATTGAGGTCCGTAGCGCACGTAGAGAACGCGTGCGCGTGTCCCGCGCACGACGGACGGAGCGTCGCGCCGCGTCCTGCGGCCGTCTCTGGGCGCCGAGTTACCGTGCGCTAAGCGGGGCTCCCAGGCAGCGGAACCACGCGAGCCGTTTTGGGTTTTCTCTTTTTTACAACAAGAAAAAAACTCCCAAAGTGTTCGTCAAGAAGGACTCCTTGCGGCCTTTATGGAGGAAAAATACACAACAAGAGACGTTTCGGGCGACGGCCCTTCTTCATAGCACGTGGATAAAAAAAGAAAAGGAGCCATTTCCCAAAACGTTGCCTGTTATGTATTCATCGTTTGAAGTCCACGGCTTTATTGATGACGAATTGCGTCGAGTTGTTTTTGCTGAGCGTGCACCGCTGTCAACGCAGCAGCAGGATCACCAGCATCGTCTGTTGCGTCTGTTGTTGTTCTACGATCGTGGCCGCGGTTTTCCCCGCACGTGCGGCTCGCGTGGCCGCGCCCACCGAGAATTCCCGCGCGGTCTCCGATTTCCACTGGCGGTTGGAGCCAAGCGCCGTCTTGGGGGCCCTCCGTTTGGGGGGCCTCCACCAGGGGGGGCCCCCTCCACCCAACAGCCTCGGCCCACTCGGGGCCAGCGTTGCTCATTTAACCCCACGTGCTCCCCCCCCCCCCAACTCCGGCCGGCGTCTCCCTGAATCAGCAGGTGCGGGCGCCCCGTCCTGCCCGCCCATGCCGGCCTTGGCCACGGCACCGCCGCTAATCTGGCGTTCACTGTCGGAGATGTGAATCCACGGAGCTCTGCCGGGCAGGGCGCGGTGTTGACGGAGGAGGAGGAGGGGAAGAATGTGAACGGAGCAATTGTGACGGAGGCGCCTTCTGTAACTCGCCGTGCTGCGGTGGAATTCCCGAGCTGCC